AACAATAAAACCCTGCAGTACGGGTAGAAATTCTAAAACAACAAAAATTATAGGTCACGCCTCGGGATCTTTGATCTCCCCGTCCTCAGTTCCAGCATGGCCTCCATCCTCACCTCCCTCTTCAGTCCGTTCTTCTTTTGACTCGATCTGGCCTTCTTCACGGTTATCTTTCGAACTTCCGATCACATCAGCAGTGCCGTCAAGATTTGCATCTTACTCGATGTTTGACGCTACGACGAGTGCCTGGTTCAAGTTGGACTCGTCCCGAGCACCTTCCAAATCGGAAACGCTCTTATGCTTTTTAATAACCTCTGGAGTTAGCCTTCCTCTGTTTGATCCATGGTCTTCTCCAAGGAGAACCACTGAAGGGTAATCCCTCGGAAAGGCCAACGCCTGGTCGAGCACGTCGAAGTCTTCATCGAGGAGCTCTATCTTGTCGTAGAGCTCGGTCTCGTCATTCAGCTCTTTTTGCCCGGCTTCAATCTTCTCAACTACTGACAGTGGACACTCAAACCCGTACTGCTTGAAAATCTTGATGGCATCTAACTGCCCTTCCAACTTAGCGCAGGACGTAATGTTGACGTTTACCTCGTCACACTGGGCTACATACGCCCGCATCTTCCTTACCAACTGGAGATAAAAGATGGATACTGACTTCTGAACCTGGGCCGCTATCGTCATACCCCAATTATCCTGGGCCTTGATAAGTGCCCGCTTATCAGATTCGAATCTCCTGAAAGACGAAGCTAGCTCGGTCGTAAGAGACTTGTTCTCTTCTTCCTGTGACTTCACCCGAAGCTCGAGAGCATCAAATTTCTCCTTTATCCCGGCCATCTTTTTCTCCTTAGCCTCGACATAAACTTCTAATTTCTTCTTCGTTAGAAAGCTCTTCTTTCGAGCATGGTTGTACTGCTCGACCGTCGCAGTAGCAAGATTTTTGGCCTAAAATAGAACGGGTTCAATTATCAGAACACTAAGAATTAGAAACCACGAATAGCCCGGGTATGAAAAACATGGAAACCTTACATGAGTTTCTGCTCAAGCCATTCGAACGAAGTCATCCTTGTAGACAAGCTCGTCCATCTTGCAGGACGGGTGGGGAGACCCTTCATCTCCCACGCTAATCGGGCACTGGATATTTGGTCTATGTGAATTGGCTCCTTGCCCCGGTACTCGAAATTGAAAGCATATTTGCTCGGGCAAGAATAAGCCTTGTGCTTTTAAGCAGCGGGTTCAGCACCGGCCTTCGTCGAGACCTGTTCAGGGAGCAAGGCATCCTTGTCTGCTACCCTAGCCTCGGGATCATCAGCCTCCATTGCTGGACATGCATTAAATTTAGCGCGGGATTCCTCCTCAACACGGGCCACTTCCTTGGCAGCCTTCACTTTTTTCTTCTCAGCTCTCTTCCGCTTCAACGTCGTCTTGACAGCGGCCGCGTCCAGAACGTCCTCCTGGACTTCTTGAAGCACGAGCTCAATGGTCTCCTGAATCCCTGCTCCCGAATCCGGGATTCCTTCTGGAGGAGCATCCTCTCGGGTCGAGTTGACCCTGGGATTGTTTGTATCCGAGACAAGGGTCTCGCCCGACCTCTGCTCGACATCCCTTCCACTCGCAGCCAGCAAAGACTCCTCAAGTTCTTTGGCGAAGTCCCTCATTTTCCTTGGCTTAATCGGCATTTTCTTTGTTGACTTTCGACGAAGAAGACCTGACAAGCAAAGAAGGTTAGCCTGGGAACACTTCTTAAGAGTGGGATGCTATTTGCTTAACGAACCTGTAGCTCTTGAAACCCTTTCAATGGTAAATTGCGGCCAAGTCTCGTGGCTTTGTCTCCGGAATTTGTTCCTATGTTCGAAGAAAACTTTCGCTGGAAGCTTGATTGGGGTTGCTGGCGTTGCTGCAAATAAAACAAACCAAAATTAGCATGGGATTGAAAGTACATACGTTCTACAACTAAAGATCGGCTAGCTACCAATCACATCGGCCCATTTAGTTAAGATCGGGATGTCTGTATCAACTACGGTGTTCCCGTCAATCTTCACAAAGAAGTACAAGTCCCGCCAATTGTCGACTTTCTTTAAAGATTTCTCGGTGATTATGTTCATTCCCCTCTTTGTGCTTACATAAAACGAACCCCGGTTCTAAGTATTCCCCCCTTGGGGTTTGATATCGGTCATCTCCTCAAAGATGTCAGTCGTGAACGGCAGCCCGTGCTCCTGAGCGAGGACTGTCAAGCTGACCACATGACAGATGCAGGCATGCGTAGTCTGCGAGATCGGCATCCCTCTCTACGCGCAGTATTCCAAAAGAATCTGGGGCAGTGGGAACCAAAGGTAAGCGTAAAGGAAGAATGCTCAAACAAGCACATGTAACCTGGCGGTGCATTCCAAGATTGTTACTCGGGACTCGAAACCACGAATTTGATCTCAGGCCCGATCCTACATACTTCCTTCAGCAGATTCAACGACTTCCATGTAGTATAGGACGAGATTATGCCGAAGGTGTTATCGGAGCTCGGGGCGTTCTTCTTGGACAGCCTCAAAAACTTGAACGAAGCTGGGGTATATTCGTCGAGAATCCCGTTCTCCCACGATTCCTCTGAAGCGCCAAGACTAATAGGTTCGTCCTTTATCTCGGCCTCGTCTCGTTCAGCCAAGGCATTGGCACTCCCGACCTTGTCGTCGTCGCCCCGATCCGACACATAGATGGCACTCCCGGCTTTGTCTGATTCATCTCTCAGCTCGGGTACCTCAATTGAAACCCGTAGCTTCGATGGCCCGGTGCCGCCCCAAGCTACGGTTCCTAGCTGACCTTTCTTGAATCGCAATGCCGCTTGCCTCTGTTGGTCTCTAATCATGTCTTCATATTGTTCATCGCGCGTGCGAACATTTGGCTTGATTTATCTGATCCCGAGCTAACACTGCCTGCCGACTCGACTGGCAAGGAAACCACTTCCTTTCCTTTAGACGACTTGTGAGGACTCATCTTCGCTAACTTAAATGGTCCCGACCTGAATAACTGATGCCACGGGTTTCTACTAGCTGTACGGCTTCTACAGACGACCCGATCTACCCTAAGACTACTGGACTAAGAACATTAAATCTAGAGAGAGAAAGAAGATGAAAAGGAGAGCAAACCTGATTTGAAGATTTTTGCGAGAAGAAAAATGAAGAAATGAAGACCCTCATCCCCTTTTTATACAAAACCGAAAACAGTTTTCGAGAAACCCGTAATCATTATGACGGTTCATATTTCCCGTGCTTAAATATATTCGAAAAGGCTGACACGCATCAATTCCCAGGAAACGAAGAGACTATTTCGGCTCGAGAAAGGCGGCTAACGAACCTGACCTATTATAAGGCCCGACCTATACGCGGTTAGATTCCCGACCTATCACACGCGGTCCGAACCTGATCTATTTTACACGGTTCAAGTCCCGACCTTGAATCGTACCGACCAGAAGTTTGTGTAGATTGAAGTAGCTTTCGGGCACCCCGTGCTTCGAAATGCCCTGATCTCAATTTATACCGAGCTATCTTTTCTTATGTTCTCCTAACCTGCTACTCCAGATCGTCAAACTGGGGGGGGGGGGGGGGGGGGGGGGGGACTAATTGTTTGTGATGGGTTTAGCACATCTTGCTAAAAGCCCTTCATAAATTGAGAAAATACCCATTTGAAACCCTACCTCCGCTTCTGGAGTTAGGTCAGTGCTGAAATATGGAAATATTTGAAGATATATTCATATCGCGCAGGAAAGGGAAACAAGACCCCGAGAAGAAAAGAAATTATCCTTATCCCAAAAGAGAAGGATTCGACTCAAGGCGGTTTATAAAGACTATATAAGAGGAGCCCCCTCCCTCGAAGGTCAATCATTCACAACTCTGGACTCGAGATCTAGGGCAAACAATAGCTTACTGCTTTCAGCTTTAGATCTCAGTTCCTTTCTCTTAAAACTTAGGTCGGCACCTAACTCTCTTGTATTCTTCGAGCTCCGGCTAATAAATAAACGACTATATCTTTTCCCCCACAAATCCTTATATTTTCTTTAGAGGAGATATCCAGATCTTACATGTACTTTGCAAAATTCATCATTCCGATCTGGTAATTCCTGTTGGGTTATAATCTTTCTTATGTGTCTGAATCATTCCTGATTTACGACTCTTGGGTTTGCTTTTTCTTCTTCTCAAAGGTAGAGTTGATTGGTTATGCTGCAACCAAGTTATTAGTAGCCAAGTTACAATGAACCCGTAAGAATTAAAGATCTTTTTTCTTTACCTTTTATTGATGATTCGCCATATGTAATTGATCATTTGATTTTCACTTAATAGCTGAGTCAACCAGTACCCATATAAATTGATAATAGTTTATTGAAAAGTAATTATATGCTAACACGTAAGAAAGAAAGAGCACATTGAGAAGTTTAGAAAATATATATTATCGATGTAGCTAATGTACTTCTTTTTAACTATAAATCGATGGGCTCTTATTAAGATATGTGAATCAAAAGTAAAAGGTGACAATGACTGCAAAAGGCTCGTGCTTTGACTTTGAAATACGGCATTCTAATTTGTACTCCATGATTAGTGTTTTTAAGTTCTCAATAATTATATTTCTTACCACATTATTATGAACGTATTTCATATTTACTCTAATGTCTAAACATGTGCACAAAAGATGATACGTGTAATTTGGGACACTAAAAACAAAGAAAAGAGAACATATATGTTGGTTTTACTCCATTGTCCCCAAATACTACTTGTAATTGTCCCATTGAAATTTTTTACTTCAAATGTCAAGTTCAAGCGAATGATTACTGATTTCAAATACACTAACACGCGAGGTCTTGGTATATGGTTTGTCAATAACCTAAGAATATATTGTGAATTGGATTTTAACCTAGAGATAATCAAATTAAACCAAAAAATTTTAGCTAATTTAGTAATGTTCCACAAAAATATAAACTCGAAAATATTGGGTATCTCTCATGCTAAATATTTTCAAACCTTTTGTAAAATCAAATTGTTTGGTTGTTTTTTTAATAACTACATATTTATGTTATTCCTTTTTTAAGAAAAAAAAAATTTTAATTTTTAAACAGTAAACTAAACAATAAATATAAAAAATACATATAACCAAAAAATACATAAATTACTTAAAATATTATATTCATTACATTTAAAAAATATATAATTAAATATAAACCCACATGTATATGGGTCATCACCTAGTTATATTTAACAACTTATATCAACGGACGGGGGACTTGAGCGGGTACACAGGGTCCATGGCAATTCCGCAGCGCCCTTTCGGATCAGCAATCCCTCTTTCGATCCTAATATACCCCCCTTCTCCCCATTTGGAACCGTGCGAGTTCTTCACTATCCAATATTTTATCCCGTCTGGGTCCAACCCATACCCGACCACAGTCATCGCATGGGTCAGTTTCGTTCCACAGTTTGCCGTGGTCAACACACCCTACAAAAATATTATATGGATATATCACTAAAAAAGCTGGAGTATCAAAAATCAGATGTTAATTGGTGGGTTTTTCGATTACCTTGGAATAAAATTGGATATCTGGATGAGTAAAGTCAACTGCAACTGTTACAGGTTGGCTTGCAACAGCTGTGAGAAGGGCTGCCTCGTTGTTTGGAGTTACATTTCCGTATCCATCGATAGTTACCCTGACACCTTTTGCCTTTGAAGGGTCGCATTTTCCTTGTATAGCCTTGTATGGGTAGTTTGTATCGGTGGTGATTCCACCATTCTTTTTGATAAAATCGAATGCGGGCCTCATGTGACCTCCTGCACAACCTTGATTCTCGGCACTACAATCAACTAGTTCTTGTGCAGACAACGACACCAGCTTATTCGTCCTGATGTGGTTGATTCCCTCAACAGCCGCCACAGTAGCAAAAGCCCAGCAACTTCCTATAAATGGTTTAGCAAATTTCAGATAATTAGATCAACAAAGATTTGAGTTTTCCTTTTGACTCATCATCAAAAGATACAAATAACTCTTTTGGTCCTTTTGTAAATCAAATGAAAACTATGGCGTGATAGTAAAATTAGTAATCTGGATCTTTTATCGTCTATTAATCCATACAAAAAAAAACTAATTTCTTGCCACCCAAGCAAACCAACTAAATAATAATAATAACTCTTCTTCATCATTTGATACCAAATCGGACGTAAGAATATAGAGAGAACTTCATAAATAAATTGGGTATCAACTTTACTTTTACCAATAAATTTAAGAGATCGAACATGGAAACAAAAAGAGAATTAAATCTTACCACACAGTAATCCTTGGTCTTTAACATCTGTTACGGCTCCATTTTTTCTCCAATCCACCGAATCAGGAGGATGAACTTTATTCTCGTAAACGCGCGGATCATGGGAAGCGACTATCATCTCGTAATCCTTCTTCACTTTAGAGGTACAGGTGTACGCTTTGGAGAACTCATACGCACTCAGGTTGGCAAACATGTTCAGCTTCAGTTTGTAGGGTTTTCTCATCTTGTTGGTTTTGAGAATGTGCTTTGCATTCTCTCTGAATATTTCGTATCTGTTCTCTCTTTGGCTGAGGTCTTTCGTCAAAGGTGCATGATGGTGGCTCATCCACCTCTTGTACAGCCTTCGTAAGCTTTCATCGCTCTCTAGCTCATCTTCTTGGTACTCAAAGCAACAAGTGCTCTCCAGAATGAGAAGTAAAAAAAGAAATATCAAGAGGTGTTTTGTCATTTTTCTTTTTTCCGGTTGGTTATTAGAAGTTGAAACTCTATGAAACGAAGTAAACAAGATAAGAGATATATTTATAGCTCCATGAAGAATTTAGGATTTCTTCTGGCTAACTATTACATTAATATATAACATGCAAGTTGATCACAAAATCAGAAGTATTATAGGTAATTCAATTTAATATTGTATTAAATGTGTGCATGTGATCAACCGGTGAATCAAGTTAATAATTTTGTGCATGTGAATTGACCATTATATAGTTAATGCTTGACAAACAAATTTGGAACCTAATAATTTTATTGAAACATATAAAGACATTAAACAGAGAATTATCGTAATAGGCTAAATTACATACGTTTTAATCAAATTATGGATAAACTACTAGTCAATTACGAATATTCTCAATTTAATGTCTTTTTCTCAAAGTTGTGTAGTTAATATTGTTGTTAGGCGTTTAGTTTTTGTGTTTGCGTATGCTATACTAGCAGATTTGGTATGTTTCATTTTTTATGTCAATGAGATATTGCACAGATTCAACCTGAAGATTTATCTTTACAACATAAGCACTTTTGTATTGATTAACTTAAAATGTTTCATACATCACCAATTTGCCATTACCGGAACGAAAATGCTGGTAAAAGAAAAACACCGAGTTCCTATCCCAAGCTATATTATCCTTTCATTGCTTTTTGTGGCACATTATATGATTTTCCTTTTGTCAACTGTTGTAATTTTATATGATGATTGTAATCCGTTTTCTAATTTATATGAGGATTATAATTTCTCTCTTTTTACACAGTTTCATTCTATTATTTTTTTTTGTTTTTGCCAAAAAAAAAGCTCCAAATCACAGCTGGGAGATAAATATTTCAAAAAAGAAAAAAGTTAGACAGCAAAAAAATAATTAAAAAGGGCAAGTTATAGTTTGGTTGATAATCTCACCATTAACAACACATGAGTAAATATTCAACTACCTAGCAAGATTTTAATATATAGATGAAGATTATAGACAGATATCAAGTGGAGAGACTCGAGTGTGTAAGTATCAAGGAAGCCCATTAGCTGAGTTTAGCTAAGGATACCGATGGCTGGTTAAGCCCAAGGTATGAGATCCATTAATCTGTTACAGGTGTCACACTCTTAGGGGTCAAGTGTGCAAGTCACACGTGCTAAGTGTTGAGCTGACCCGAGTATTAAAGCTCCGTCTTATCCACTTCTTAGTTTGTTAGAGTTGTTACAACTGAGAAGAGAGACGAGAGAAAGAGAGAGTGTTGTAATCGAATAACGGCGAGTTTAGTTGGTGATATAGTAGATTGCTTGCCGGAGCGTTTTTTGGCCCCAGAGACATAGCCATCCTCACGGAGGTGAGCTCTAGGTTACCAATTCTGGTGTTCTTTGTCTTTACTACTTTTCTTCTCTTCTTTCTTTGTTGGATCGATTCGAGCGAGGCGAAGCAAAGTCGAAGTCAAGTCGATTTGATTTCACAAATTGGTATAAGAGCGCCAGGTTTTGGTGCGGAAGGTGAATCGATTGAAGATGGCTACTCAGAGAATCGAAGTAGCGATGTTCGACGAAAACGGTGATTTTGGAATCTGGAAAAAGAGGATGCTCGCGAATCTGAGTGTTCAAGGCTTGAAGGATGTTCTTTTTGAACAGGCGCAATCCTCTATGCCGATGAAAGCTGGAGAAACAGATCCGCTCAAAACAGATCCACTCAAAGTAGTCAAAGGAATTGAAGATCCAACACGAGCAGAGCGAGATGAGAAAGCGATGAATCTGATCTTTATAGGTGTCACAGATCAAGTTCTTCGGAAGCTCGACAAGTGCGTTACAGCAGCTCAAGTCTGGGACACTCTCGATCGTCTCTACATGCCAAAGACTCTTCCGAACCGTGTACACGCACAGCTCATCGTGTATTCCTACAAGATGCAAGACTCAAGAGCAATTGACCAGAATGTGGATGACTTCTTGAAGCTGATCGCAGAACTAAGCAACCTCAGTATCGACATTCCAGAAGAGGTTCAGGCTATCCTACTACTCAACGCTCTCCCTACAAGGTATGATTATCTAAAAGAAACTCTGAAATACGGTAGGGAGACAATTAAATTTGAGGAAGTAGTGAGTGCTGCTAGATCTAAGGAAAGGGAATATAGAGAACTGTCGAACTCTAGGATTGCTGGTGAAGGAAATTATGCTAGAGGTAGATCGGAAAATAGATCTAGTAGTAGCACGAGCTCTGGTGCAGGTAAGGGCAAACACAGGTCTAGATCAAAATCAAGAGACGGAAAGAAAGTTTGCTGGATCTGCGGTAAAGAAGGCCATTTCAAGAAACATTGTTTTAAGTGGCTTGAAAGAAACAAAGGGAAAGGTCATTCTCAAGATAAGGGCGAGTCTGCTATGGTTCAGGATGATGCAACGGATCTGGTTGGTTTGTTAGTTGCTGAAGTGAATTTGACGACAAAGGATATAGACCAAGAAGAGTGGATTATGGATACAGGATGTTCATTCCATATGACACCAAGAAAGGAGTTCTTTATCGAGCTAAAGGAGTTGTCGAATGGTAAAGTGAGAATGGCGAATAACACCATGTCTGAAGTAAAAGGGATTGGATCAGTCAGATTCTCTAATCCAGACGGAACAACATTTGTTCTACACGATGTGAGATACATGCCTGGAATCTCAAGAAATCTGATGTCTGTTGGAGCATTAGAGGCAAAAGGCTGTGAGTTCAGAGGCAGTAATGGGATACTCAAGGTCTCAAAAGGCTGCACGGTTGTATTGAAGGGTTTGAGGAGGGCATCTCTTTACATACTTCAGGGAAACGCTCAAGTCTCAGGATCATGTGAAGCTGAAGCAAGCATGGTGGATCAGACTGAAACCAGTGAATATGAAACGCAGCTTTGGCACAGTCGAATGGGTCACATAGGACAGAAGGGACTAGAAGTTCTAGCAAAGAAATGGTGTTTTGATAACTGCAAGGTCTCACAATTGAAGTTCTGTGAAGATTGTGTGTTAGGAAAGACTCACCGTGTTAGCTTCGGGCCAGCACAACATGTGACGAAGGACAAGCTGGACTATGTTCTTTCGGATCTTTGGGGATCACCAAATGCCCCATTGAGTTTAAGCAAGAGTCAGTACTTCATATCCTTTACAGATGACTTCTCAAGGAAAGTTTGGATTTATTTCCTACGACATAAAGACGAAGCTTTCAAGAGTTTTTTTAACTGGAAGAAGATGGTGGAAACTCAGACAGAGAGGAGAGTTAAGAAACTCCGAACTGACAATGGTCTGGAATTTTGTAATAATCAGTTTGATAGTTTCTGCAAGGACGAATGTATAGTCAGGCACATGACGTGCACATATACTCCCCAACAAAATGGAGTAGCGGAACGACTAAACAGGTCGATTATGAATAAAGTTCGGAGTATGCTGAGTGAAAGTGGGTTGGGTCAGAGGTTTTGGGCAGAAGCAGCTGCAAATGCGGTGTATTTGATCAATCGGTCTCCATCCTCAGCACTAGATTTCAAGGTTCCAGAGGAGATCTGGACATCAGCAATGCCAAGTCTTAAGGGTTTAAGAAGATTTGGATGTCTAGCTTACGTTCACTCTGATGACGGCAAGCTTAATCCAAGGGCAAAGAGAGGTATCTTCACAGGGTATCCAGAGGGTGTTAAAGGGTTCAAGATTTGGCTTCTCGATGATCAGAAAGTTGTAATAAGTCGGAATGTAGTTTTCAGAGAGGACAAAGTCTACAAAGAGGTGGTGTCAGGTGAAGCAGTGACAGAAGTTCAAAACAGACCTACAAGAGTTAGCTTCACGCTACCTATCGAAGGAGTGTCTTCAGGAAACTCCACTCAAGGTGGAGAGACTTCGCCAGAACAGTGTAAAGAACAGTTTGAAGAAGTGGACTCTGAAACAGATGACGAGACTGAAGAAGAACCAGTAGGTGCTGATGGTCATCAAGAAGTGAGAAATTACCCAGACAGAGAGAGGAATCCACCGTTGAAATTCAGAGACTACGTTTGCAAGTACGCTGAGATCGAAGATGAGTTTGCAGGTCTGGTCTGTGAAATGTCAGAAGATGGTGAATCTGAACCCTCAAGCTATCATGAAGCGATGGAAAATCCGGATAGTGACAAGTGGTCAGAAGCAGCATGCGAAGAGATGAGTTCTCTAAGGAAGGCTCACACTTAGGATCTGATAGACAAACCAAAGAATCAGAAAGTCATTGGTTGTAAATGGGTTTTCACGAGAAAACCAGGGATAGCAGGAGTTGAAGCACCTAGATACAAGGCACGTCTAGTTGCGAAAGGATTCGCTCAGAGAGAAGGAATAAATTACCAGGAGATCTTCGCGCCAGTTGTTAAGCATGTATCCATTAGATATCTGTTATCAGCAGTTGCTCATTACGACATGGAATTGCAACAAATGGACGTAAAGACGGCTTTTCTTCATGGTTTCTTGGATGAGTTTATTGTCATGGAACAGCCTGAAGGTTTTGTTGACAAGAAACATCCTGACAAAGTCTGTTTGCTCAAGCGATCCTTGTATGGTTTGAAGCAGTCACCGAGACAATGGAATAAAATATTCGATGATTTCATGAAGACAAACGGGTACTCAAGGAGCAAATATGATCAGTGCGTATATCTGAAGAAAGGAAAAGGTGGAGTTTACATATACTTACTCTTATATGTGGATGATATCTTAATTGCCTCAACCAGTAAGCATCAGGTCAGAGATCTTAAAGCTTTGTTGAGTTCTGAGTTCGAGATGAAGGA